AAAAATCAGGCCCCAGGAAATGCGTTCCGAGCCCTTTTCGCCCATCCAAATGTGCCCCTAAAGGAAGGCTTTGGGTACAAGAGAACTCCCCAGGGGAGCCTTTACGCAGCCCTACATGCAACTGGACCCTCCGGGTTCGCTGTTCCTGAGGAAACCTAATCCTAGCCCTAGCCGTCATCAGAGACAAGTGAAAAATCAGGCCCCAGGAAATTCGTTGCGAGCCCCTTTGGAGCATCCAAAGTGCCCCCAAAGGAAGGCTTTGGGTACAAGAGAACTCCCCAGGGGAGCCTTTACGCAGCCCCACATGCAACTGCACCCTCCGGGTTCGCTGTTCCTCAGCAAACCAAAACGTAGCCCTAGCCGTCATCGGAGACGAGTGAAAAATCAGGCCCCAGGAAATGCATTCCGAGCCCTTTTCGCCCATCCAAAAGTGCACTCAAAGGAAGGCTTTGGGTACAAGAGAACTCCCCAGGGGAGCCTTTACGCAGCCCCACATGCAACTGCACCCTCCGGGTTCGCTGTTCCTGAGCAAACCTAAACCTAGTCCTAGCCGTCATCGGAGACAAGTGAAAAATCAGGCCCCAGGAAATGCGTTCCGAGCCGTGTTCGCCCATCCAAATGTGCCCCTAAAGGAAGGCTTTGGGTACAAGAGAACTCCCCAGGGGAGCCTTTATGCAGCCCCACATGCAACTGGACCCTCCGGGTTCGCTGTTTCCGAGCATCCCTAAACATAGCCCTAGCCGGCATCGAAGACGACTGAAAAATCAGGCCCCAGAAAAAGCGTTTGGAGTCCCTTTGGACCATCCAAAAGTACCCTCAAAGGAAGGCTTTGGGTACAAGTGAACTCCCCAGGGGAGCCTTTACGCAGCCCCACATGCAACTGGACCCTCCGGGTTCACTGTTTCGGAGCATCCCTAAACATAACCCTAGCCGGCATCGTAGACGACTGAAAAATCAGGCCCCAGGAAATGCGTTGCGAGCTCTTTTCGCCCATCCAAAAGTGCCCACAAAGGAAGGCTTTGGGTACAAGAGAACTCCCCAGGGGAGCCTTTACGCAGCCCCACATGCAACTGCACCCTCCGGGTTCGCTGTTCCTGAGCAAACCTAAACCTAGCCCTAGCCGTCATCGGAGACAAGTGAAAAATCAGGCCCCAGGAAATGCGTTCCGAGACCTTTTCGCCCATCCAAATGTGCCCCTAAAGGAAGGCTTTGGGTACAAGAGAACACCCCAGGGGAGCCTTTACGCAGCCCTACATGCAACTGGACCCTCCGGGTTCGCTGTTCCTGAGGAAACCTAATCCTAGCCCTAGCCGTCATCGGAGACAAGTGAAAAATCAGGCCCCAGGAAATGCGTTGCGAGCCCCTTTGGAGCATCCAAAGTGCCCCCAAAGGAAGGCTTTGGGTACAAGAGAACTCCCCAGGGGAGCCTTTACGCAGCCCCACATGCAACTGGACCCTCCGGGTTCGCTGTTTCCGAGCATCCCTAACATAGCCCTAGCCGGCATCGAAGACGACTGAAAAATCAGGCCCCAGAAAAAGAGTTTGGAGTCCCTTTGGACCATCCAAAGTACCCTCCAAGGAAGGCTTTGGGTACAAGTGAACTCCCCAGGGGAGCCTTTACGCAGCCCCACATGCAACTGGACCCTCCGGGTTCGCTGTTTCCGAGCATCCCTAAACATAACCCTAGCCGGCATCGTAGACGACTGAAAAATCAGGCCCCAGGAAATGCGTTGCGAGCTCTTTTCGCCCATCCAAAAGTGCCCACAAAGGAAGGCTTTGGGTACAAGAGAACTCCCCAGGGGAGCCTTTACGCAGCCCCACATGCAACTGCACCCTCCGGGTTCGCTGTTCCCTGAGCAAACCTAAACCTAGCCCTAGCCGTCATCGGAGACAAGTGAAAAATCAGGCCCCAGGAAATGCGTTGCGAGCCCCTTTGGAGCATCCAAAAGTGCCCCCAAAGGAAGGCTTTGGGTACAAGAGAACTCCCCAGGGGAGCCTTACGCAGCCCCACATGCAACTGGACCCTCCGGGTTCGCTGTTTCCGAGCATCCCTAAACATAGCCCTAGCCGGCATCGAAGACGACTGAAAAATCAGGGCCCCAGAAAAAGCGTTGCGAGTCCCTTTGGACCATCCAAAAGTGCCCTCAAAGGAAGGCTTTGGGTACAAGAGAACTCCCCAGGGGAGCCTTTACGCAGCCCCACATGAAACTGCACCCTCCGGGTTCGCTGTTCCTGAGCAAACCTAAACCTAGCCCTAGCCGTCATCGGAGACAAGTGAAAAATCAGGCCCCAGGAAATGCGTTCCGAGCCGTTTTCGCCCATCCAAATGTGCCCCCTAAAGGAAGGCTTTGGGTACAAGAGAACTCCCCAGGGGAGCCTTTACACAGCCCCACATGACACTGGACCCTCCGGGTTCGCTGTTCCTGAGCAAGCCGAAACATCGCCCATGGGAGACCGAACCCTAACCCTAACCCGAACCCAAAGCCTAACCCGAACCCTGGATCTAACCCTAACCTCACAGCCACAGCGTACCTGCTGCAATGCCTCTCTCTTCCCAGCTCCAGTTCTTCAGCTGCTCACCAGCTCTAACTCAGAATCTTCGCTCACAGCGCCACGGCAAACTCTGCCCGGGCCACACAACACACTGCACAAGCTACGTTGCTTAAGACACACAAAAGCTGGAACGTTCCAGCCCAACAATTAGTCACGTCGCACAGGAAGGATGCCGCGTACTCCTAGAAACCAAACCTTCCAGTCCTGAGCAGCTCCCCACCTCCTCCTGCCACCCACTGCTCAGCACACACACTATGCGCCCCTCAAAAAACCAAAAGTTAGAACATAAACAGACAGAAAAAAAAACGACTGAGCTCCATAAATGCCAAAAAGACATGCACACACAGCAGCCCCGGCAGGGGTAATCACAGACTCACCCTTGGCAGATGAAAGAGGAGACTCTGATACAACCCTGCTCAGTCTCTTGGCAATGCTGCATATCTACGCTGCCGAGCCACAGGTACCATGCAATCAAGCTGCTTTTAGTCCTCAGGAGAGTTACACAGGTGGGTTTATACATTTAGAGATTGAAGTATAGGTCAAAACCAGAAGAGTGTCCCACCACCCCAAAAAAACAGTGAGCCAGCGGCCTCTGCTAAATAGAGCTCTATTGAGTGAATTCCAAGCACTTAAAATCCAGAAATCCATAGACTTTGACCCACCTAAAGAACCCTGCAACTGACTGAAGGAAACACAAAGCACTTACCCCAAAGAGCAGCCCAGGCAGAAGGAGCTCTCTGGTGGCATGCCTGTGGCTCATATACCTTTTGCCCCCGCCCCCAGCACCCAAACCCAATCACCTGGGAAAGGGGAGGGGCAAAGCACAGGACATCAGAAAGAGGAGCAGCAGCTGTGCTTTATTTACTTATTTTTATGGCTTAGCTCAACAGCACGCAGAGTGCAGGCAGCAGACCTGGGGTGTTTCTAGAAGCAAAAATCCCCTTTCGCTTTTGCTGCAGCTTTGAATATTGAACTGACAATATCACCAAGCTAGTAACTGAAACTTTCTCAACTGGAATTAGTTTCAACAGGCTCATCCACAGAATCACAGAATTTCTAGGTTGGAAGAGACCTCAAGATTATCGAGTCCAACCTCTGACCTAACACTAACAGTCCCCACTAAACCATATCCCTAAGCTCTACATCTAAACGTCTTTTGAAGACTTCCAGGGATGGTGACTCCACCACTTCCCTGGGCAGCCCGTTCCAGTGCCTAACAACCCTTTCGGTAAAGAAATTCTTCCTAACGTCTAACCTAAAACTCCCCTGGCACAATTTAGCCCATTCCCCCCCGTCCTGTCACCAGGCATGTGGGAGAACAGACCAACCCCCACCTCGCTACAGCCTCCTTTAAGGTATCTGTAGAGAGCAATAAGGTCACCCCTGAGCCTCCTCTTCTCCAGGCTGAACAAGCCCAGCTCTCTCAGCCGATCCTTGTAGGACTTGTTCTCCAGGCCCCTCACCAGCTTCGTCGCCCTTCTTTGGACCCGCTCAAGCACCTCGATGTCCTTCTTGTAGCGAGGGGCCCAAAACTGAACACAGTACTCGAGGTGCGGCCTCACCAGAGCCGAGTACAGGGGGACAATCACCTCCCTAGCCCTGCTGGTCACACTGTTTCTGATACAAGCCAGGATGCCGTTGGCCTTCTTGGCCACCTGAGCACACTGCTGGCTCATATTCAGCCGACTGTCCACCATCACTCCCAGGTCCTTCTCTGCCTGGCAGCTCTCCAACCACTCCTCTCTGTATGACCATCCCCAGCTGTCTGTATGTCCGTCCCCATCGGAACGCATTTCCTGGGGCCTGATTTTTCATTCGTCTCCGATGACGGCTAGGGCTACGTTTAGGTTTGCTCAGGAACAGCGAACCGAGAGTCCAGTTGCATGTGGGCTGCGTAAAGGCTCCCCTGGGGAGTTCACTTGTACCCAAAGCCTTCCAGACCTTTTCGCCCATCAAAAAACCAACGCAAAGGCACCGAGAGGAAGGTTCTAGAAACTTTATTTTGTTCTGGGGGGGTCGGGGTCTGGTGAGGGCAGGGGAGGGGCTCTGGGGGGGCTCTGAGGGGTGGGGGGGTCCCGGCGGGGGTCCACAGGGCGGCGTTGGGGGGGCAGTCGATGAAGTCAGCCAGCATGGAGGCCGTGGGGTCGGGGCCTGGGGGCACAGCGGGGTCAGCGCCGACCGACCCCCTGACCCCACCCCATCCCACCCCCACCACCCC